ACAATATTTTCTATTTCTAATCTTTTTACTCTCTTCTTTTCAATTCAAAATCAATTTCTTTAAAAATCAAATTTATTCAACAGTTAAAATATTACACAATATTTTATAAGAATCAGGAAGTTATAACTTAACTTAACTCCTATTTAAAAAGTTTCACAAATAATATACTTTATTTAAATCTTTTTATACAATCTAAACTTTATAAATTAAATTCTAGAAATCTCTAGAAAACTCAAATTTAATTCAAATAGAAACACAATAAACTCTTAGTCAAAGAACACTAAACTAAGAAAACTTAAATCAAACTCTTTAAGTTCTAAGTTCAATTCTTTATTTTAAATAAAACAAATCAAAATTCTAAAAGTTACACAACTTTTATTCAAACAAAATCAATTACAATAGTAATTGATTACTCTTATCTCTGAGAATTTACAAAATAAACTCTTATCTTGAGAATTTACAAAATACACTTATCTCTTAGAATTAAAAAATAAACTTGATTATACTCTAAAATCCTAATGTTTAAATAGAGGAAAAAATGGGAGGGTTTTAACATAAAAATATCAAAAATTTACAAAGTGCAATGAATAATGGGATAGAAGTAGGCGTATTTGATTACGCATGATTAAAAATAGAAATAAAAAAATAAAAATATTTCAACAAAAACGACAAGGGACAAAAGGGTCACAAACATAAAACAACATTTGCATTTCGCGACACTCGGGAGCGCGAGAAAATATAAAACAAAATAGATGAAAGGATTTAAAATTTATTTTCTTTAAAATATCCTCTTCATCATTTAAGTCCCTTGTTCTATTCTTCCAAATTCAGCACTGGACATCTTTGAGTTGAAGCATCCATTTTGCACATGTCCATCATATGTTACGACTGCTCACTATATTTGGATTATTCAGCTTCGTGTCTTCGGTCACCCTTAAGCTAACGAGCCACAAATAAATTTGGAATCGATTTGTAATAGAATCGATATCCAGCCTCCTCCAATAGGCATGGAATCCTCCAGAAATCCTCCGGCGGCATGGAATCCTCCAGCAAGTAATCAGCTATTATTTTAACTTTCTAATTTTTCGAGATTTAAATTTCTAATTTTTCTAAATTCGAAAGGGTAAGGAGATATATCGTAGCGGTTCGTGGGGATTAAAAATTCTTGGTCCCTTAAAATAGAGTTGTACACATCCTGTTATAACCAGTACCCTCTATTTTCGTTTACCGACTAGTTTAGTTACCGACTCGCACTTTTTTTATTTTTCTATACTTTTTGAGACCTAAAGAACATTATAAATGCCAGGCAAGTTGACTTAAAACATTCATTTTGTTTTTCGGCCTTATATTAGTCATGGTTTCGATTTTTCCGCAAGCAAAAAATTTTACTTAAAACCCGTGTCCATAGTACATAATATTTTTTCACGTAAATAAATGAAAGTTATTGTTTTCATTTCACCTATTACTCCGCAAATTTTTTGGTACCCGGACTCTGTTAATGAGCTCTAAGAGTAATTAAAAATCATTTTAAAAAATTTTATTTGACACAAAATCATAAGGTGCTGGATCACTGCAAACAAATCCTGAACGTCAATATGGTCATCCTGTGATTCAATATCCATTTGATCAAAGCTATCAATCTCAATATGATTATAGTATTTAATCACTAATTTAATTATTTAAAATAATGAAGGCATGATAAATCCTCAACAGTTTGGTTATGGAAATCCACAACAATATTTTGAGAATCGTAATTTAATTTACCTTATTTTTCCTAAATTTTAATTAAAATTTAAATATAAATTCAGAATTTGAAAAAGATACATAGGCAGCGATACTTGCATCAAGGGGTGGACGACCTCTGAGAGGGATAAATATTCAAGGCACTTTTTGGAAATATTTTGTTCTGGCTGCGGCAAATTAGCGGCCGCTTTTCTTTTAGCTATATGAGTGGGGGTATGGGGGGGGGGGTCAATTTTCAAATTTGGATTTGCCCAACTAAGCTTAAATATAAACTGAATTTGTATACAGCCCTTCTTATGGATTTTTTAAATGAATAGTATGAAACCATTATCAGTTTATGGTTTTAACAACTAAATTACGCCAAAATTAAAAGAAATTTTTCCGTTTGGGAGTGAATGATTTACAAATAGTTCGGACTAGTTTATCTTTATTATCAGTTGTCAAATTTTTATTTGGTATCTAAAAATTTTTTAATATGTCGGAAATCCAGTAAATAACGAATTATCGCTTTTCATTCAAATTAAAAATTGTTATAGCTAAAAGAATAGGAGGCTCTAATTTTCGCACCCTGTATAATTTAGTTTTTTAAGAGCCTGGTACTATTCAACATGAAACTATTGATTCTGATGCTGATGAATCTGCTGATTATTACCGATTTGGAAAAGGTTTTAAAAATATTACATTTGTAGAATTTTGAGTTTATTAGTCAAAATTATAGTTATTCACTTGGCAGGTTAAACTGAACGAGTAATTTTCCATTTAGTTATTTTAGAAATTGGCATATATGGAACGAGTCGAAAAATTGTAATCTAATGATAAGAACCCCACACATTGAGATTTTGATTATAACCCCAGCGAAAATACAGGAAAGTACAGTAGTCCGGAAGGATCATTGCAAATCCTAAATGATAATTATTCCAGCCTACCCTATTTAGCTTTTCTATATGAGTGACATTTTTAAATAAACTGATATATTACTAACTTAATTATCAAAAAATATAAATAATTATAGAAGGAAGTTCGTCTCATAATGCTGATCTTAGATTATTCGGAAAAGATATTTTTGTCGGCGATCGAGGTATTACGATTAGCTAGATAATAAAATATAAATTTTTAATAATAAGGGCAATTTGATCAAGGATCTGGGTCTAATCAAGGTAAAGATTACAGTCTATAGTTTTGTGTAAAATCTTATTTAGAAAAGAAAAATTTTTTTTAAATTTGCTGTTGAACATATATATATTAAATTTAGGAAGACGTTCAAATCAAATAGGACGATCACGAAGAGGTGGACTTTCAGGACACGAAGGTATTTATAAATACTAGGATTAATTTAAGCAATTGATTTATGAAAATGTATATAGTTTAGTATACGGAGCTTTGTCTCGACAAGCTGAGTCGAAAGGTACATCTCTTTTTTTACGGAGATGCTTGTCTACTGAGATTTAGATCCCCGAAAATTGATACCCATATGGGGGAGTTAGCACAATTTCGGGGCGAAAAATCGATTTTTGAATGATAGCTCATTCGAAAAAGCTCATTTAGCTGAGTCGATGACATCAAAATCAGCTCAAGATTTAAATTCTGAGCCAAGATGGACAGCTTCAAAATGGTTAACGTAAACCTATGGGGCATAGCTACGGAAGTTGACTAATACGGTGGTAGTTGACCCGAAAATGGGGGAGGGTAACCCGAGTCAAGATGAACCGAACATGAGTCCAATTGTTCCGAACACTGGAAGTCTACTCGAACATGAGTCGAGTTGTTCCGAATATGCAGGAAGTTGACACGAAAAGTTTCAAAAAAGTAGAAATTTTGTCCCGAGAATTATGAACGAAGTTTAGCATGGGCTTATTTTAGGAAATACGGTAAATTAAAAATAATTTTTACAGATAAAGGAAAGGGTAAAATGCATGATGAACGAGACAAAAATTGAGTTTTGAGTGGAACTAATGCACTGATTATTTGAAATGTAAACAAATGAAGAATGATTGCATTGTTTTTTGTTATTGTAGCAACATAATCTATCCTAGACTTTCCTTTAAAGCTTTACTATTTTTATTAATTTTCCTTTGGATATATATCGGTTTTTATTTTATTTCGGATATGGGGTTATCTTTTAGTGAGCTTCGGCTGTATTATAAAATTTTCGAACTTTGGGTAATAGTTTGGTAGAGCCCCCCCCCCTTTTCCCCGTTTTCCTGACAATTTTGAGCTTTTTTTGTCTGATATATAATTGAATATATCATTTGAAAAACTTGTCAAGTATGGTCGAATGATACCAACATGGCTAGATCTGATGATTCTTACAAAATTATCAAGCTAAATCCTTGTTGGGAAACCTTTTTGTGACAATGCAAGGGAATATATTATATATATACGGCCATATATATACGGCCACAACTTTGTTCACTTAGGTCAGGTTTCGTAAATTTTTAAGTCTTTCGACATAGCTCGAAGGGCTCTTTCGAATGATATATAATTTGCCATAACTTGAGAAAAAACTAAAAAAAATAGGAAGAAAAAAAGGGAGTTCCAAACTATTACCGAACATTGTTAACCCAAATACGTTCCCTTAAATCTTTACTATTTTTATATTTCTTCCCTCAGATTACTAATCGATTTTTATTATATTTTTGATCACTATTTTCAGTTGAAATTTTACTGGACCAGTCATATGGGAAATACATTGCATATAGATAATACACCATAAAATTTGTTGGTCACAGCCACTAAATGACCAACAAATTTTATGGATTTTTTAATTGAAATATACATATTTAAGTCTTTTAAATCTTTATTTTAAATTCAAGATTTCACAATTTTGGGACATTTATATTTTTCCTTTCATTTCGGTTTTTTATTTTTTTGGTTAAAATTCAAAAGTGATTTGTTTCTGTTGGGAAGGTTAACATTAGATAAGATAATCAGATCGCATCACGTATTTGCAGATTAATCAGCTACCCATCCTAATATCAAGTAAAATTTAACATCTAAATTTGCTTATATATAATGTAGGAGCTATTGACTTTAACTCCCACAAATTTATTTAAATTTTTTAATTTAACGAGAGAAAACAATTTTATTTATTTTTAAAGCACGAACAAAATTTTATATAAAAAAAATAAGGAGAAAAAGTATTTAATTTAAATCCAACAAAACTTAAAGTGAATAAGAGAAGTGAGCAGCGAATAATAAAACTAAAGTGTATTTAAAAGGAAATAGGAAAAAGATAAGATCGTGGGAATGTAATTTAGTTAATAATATATTTTTATATGTTTACGTGGAGTTTTCCACGACATTCCCGGGCCAAGATTTAATTTTTTATCAAAAACAATTTTTATTAATTTTGTATTTCTTTTACTTCCCAAATCCTTCGTAACCTTCTTCCGCATTGCATTTCCAGTTTTCAAATCGTTGTTTTTCCAATTTTTCTGTTGTTTGTAAGGATTGTAGCGATTTGAATAAGAATATTTTTGTTGATTAATGTTAGAAGAAGATTCTAATTCGTTTCGGGTCTTTACAATCGCAATTTCGCCTTTTCTTTTCATGCTAGCGCTTCTTTTGTATTGCGCATGCAGCATAAGAGCTTGTTTAGTCAATTCAGCGCCAAGTTTTAGTAAGCCTTCCACTTTCTCTATTTCATTATGCGACAAGCCTTCATGGTCTAATTTAAACCCGCGCCCTTCATACTCATTTGAATCATTTTTAATGATTTCTGCTGTTGTTGTTGTGGGACGCGTTATTTTTCCGGTTTCCGGATCAACTCTACCAGCTTCTTTTTGGCTGTTTACCGCTGCGAGTTGTAAAGTCTGGACAGCGCGCAATAAAGGCGGCATTTTCTTGGCTTTTTCTTTACAATCTTCCAAGTAGTCCTCGCGTTTTTTGAAACCCGCTGCAACGCCGTATTCTTTTTTCTGCTGGGCGCTTGGTATGCCTTTAGTACTTTTCTCAACCCACCACTCTTGTAATTCTTGTTGTTCATTTGGTGATGCTGAGGAAACAATTTCCGCTTCTAATGGTGGTGGGGCAGGACCGTAATACATTAATGAATTTTCAGAATTTGTTGGCGAAGAAGCAGGAGAAATATTCGAGAGTTGTTCGTTGTTCATTTTATTTGAATTATTTAAAGAATTAGAATTTGTAATAATAATTAAAATAATTACAATTCTAAAAATTAATTTTTTATGAATTGGGTTTACGCGAAACAATATTATTATGAAAATAATCGCGAAAAATATGGCTAAAAGCAGAAAAAGACTTTGAGGCAGGCCTAAGAAGAAGTAGCCAAGAAAAGCCCATTCTATGCTATTTTCCGCGAGAGATTGAGTGCTTTGTGCGTGAATCAAGCTAAGCCAATTTTGTTGTATTATGTATTTTAGCTTTCCCTTTAGCTGGAAGTGTGTTTCCCCTGCGGGACAATTTACCGTGCAGTTTGCCGAAATGTCCGCATTTTCTAAAGCTAAGGGTATTTTGTGTTGTCCATTGCAGAAAAGCGAAAACTCGAAATACTTGCCGCTTTTTTGGACACAATACACATGTGCGAGCGCTCCATTCCCAAAACTAGGAGTGCAATTTAAATCAAAACTTGCTCCCGCAATGCATGAATAACAGCCAATTAATGCGCTTGGGCTTATTTCACACTTGACTCGGTCATGTGTGGCAATTAGCTGATAATTTTCCATGGATACTTGCAATTCGATGGAAGCATGCGGTAACGAGGCGTATAAGCGGTTTTTCTCGTTTTTGAGCGCAAAGTTTTGAGAAATAATAGGTAAGACTTTAGCTGGATTTTCTAGAAATATTTTATCCAATCGTCCATCTTTACATTGGCACGTAACTGTAGGATCGGTAACTGAGCATTTACAAGCGTCCGCGTCTAGTTGGCATCCGCTGAATGACTCTGCCTCACCTTGCGTGGCGCAATATAATTTAGAATTTAAATGGTCTGCGATCATTACATTATCACCATCGGTCAGAAAGCGCGTGGCGAGAATTGGCGTAGGTGCTTTAGTAATTGCGTTGATCGCCAATTTTAGACCGCTAATTTCTGTTAAAATCCCATTATATAGCCGGATTTTATCTATTTTTGTCTTTCCTTTATCATTTGTCCTTTTTATCGCCAGCTCTATTGCGTATTGCCAGGCGGGACAATTAAAGAATTCGTAAATCTTTTTAGACCTTTCTACAGCGTGCAAGCGATAAAAAATGCAGGAAGTTGTTGGAAATCCGCATCCACACATTAAAAAGCTGCAGCTGTCGATACAGAAGGTATTACCCGGTAATTCATTTACAGCATTTAACTCAGGTATTTTTGAATCTAGCTTTGTGTTTGCGCATGTATTGCCAGTACAACTACCTTGCTTGGGGCAGCGTTTGCTAGAGTAGGTTTTTATTTCGTGGCTGCGCGAAAAATATTCTGAAGATTTTTGGCACTCCACCACTATGTCCTCTATTGTTATATCCACAATCCCCATTGGCAGTTTATTTGCTCCCCTAATTAGCAGTTGCGCGATTCGATGACTAGGGGTTAGCGTTAAAATGGTTTCGTGGCTAACATGGCATTTGGTTTGATTATTTTCCATTTTAATGCAATCTTCTTCTTTTGCAGAAAAAGAAGCGAATTGGGAAGCGCCGTTAGCTACATTTATTATAGCCAATATTACAACTATTTTATTCATAGTTGTTCCTCGGGCCCCGAATTTTTTTCTAAAAGGAATAAATGGTTTAAATTCCCTTTGTTTCTCAGTTTTGATTTCAGCTAGTTCAATGTCGTTTTTAGCATTATTTTTCTGCTGATTTTTATTTTTGAGCCTAGCTTCAATTATTTTTCTCAAAATTAAATATGGAATTTTAATTATCGATTTTAAAAGAATTTTGAGAATGCGTAGTGTTATTTTTATACACCAGACCAATTCAGCAATTGTAATGCATATTTTATTTAATAGAAGGCATAATTTGAATAAGCAAGTTAATATTATTGCAATTAGTATTCCTCCTATCATTGCTGCGTAGATTGGCCAGCATTCAGGATTCGCTAATAATTCTGTACATATATAGCAATTTATTATTTCGCAAATTTTAACGCTAGGACATTTTACAGCAATTTTATTTATTGGGTTGCTTTTTGTCGTCCATAGCTGCATTGAGCAGGTGTGCTCGTTTAATAAAATGTCTTTAGGGAGAGTGACTAATTTAGGCGATTCTACTCCCTCGAAACTAAAACAATAAGGTTGGCAGCAAATTTCTATTTTTGAGAATTTTATTTCTTTAAAAATTGCCTTAATCCCTGTTGTTTCGCAATTAAGTTGGCAGTTCGCGCATTTACTTATTGATTTTTTATTAGTTCCGTTAGTATGTATGCGTTTATACCCCCATGCTTTTATAGGAATTTCTACGTCCTTTGAAATAAAAAGCGTGGTTTCGCGGTGTGGGTAGTAGCAAAAGCGTGTTCCGGATGTTAGACAGTCATGGATTGAACAGTAATGCGGGGTTCCTATTGTTGCTCCCGTACCAATACAGACCTCATCCTTATCGAATACGTCTATTGTACGTATTTGTAATTGTTGAACATATTGAATATTTCCATTAAATAATTCAATTGTAGGAATAAGAATAGAAATATCGTTGTCTGCTTCAATTTGTTCATGAGAAGCTATGCTATTTAGTTTTGATTGCTCGTATATTACGTAATTATTTGTGTGCGAGCATCCTGCTGCCCATTCGGGACATTTGCCGCAATTGTCTAAACAGCTCCAGCCCCCTGATACTGGTGTCAGAAATTTTTCGCCGCAGGATTTAATTTTATAGCATAGTTCGGGAGGGTCTTTTCCATTTTTTGAATAAATTAAAATGCCCTTTGAATTGCAATTGCTTTCTGTATGTAATAAATGCCCTTCCGCTTCACATTCATAAGGTAAAAGCGGTGTGCGCAGATTCGTGGCGTTAGCACAAGCGATTAATTGCAGGCATAGTATTAAGAAAGGTATTGTTTTTAAGCCGTAAGCATTAGCGTTGATTTTTTGCTTGGCTTTTTCTTTTGCATCCCTTATAATTTTTGGGCGCTCTTCGTTTATTATTGGCTCTATTTGCGTTTCTTTTGGTTTGGGAATCGATTCTTCATCCCCACCTATTTCAAGCGGAACTAGGTGCGCTAGAGCTCTTTTTAAAATTTTTCCGTTCGGCATTAATACTTTGGCAGAGCGAATAGATGTTGGATCTCCGGGAGGTAATTCTGAAATTCTTCCTAACCGCCAATTTGTCCTGGGAGTGTTTTCATCTGTTAGTAAAACTACCTCACCAATTCTAGGAATAGTGTTGTTTCGTTTCATTTTATTGCGTTGTTGTCTTCGTTCTTTAAGAAAATTTAAGTATTCGTGCTGCCAAGTATTCCAGAATTTATTTTGAATACGAAGAGAATTTTTGTATGTTGTTAATAATTTTTCAGGCGCGCTTAAGTCCGGTTTCCATTCTTCCTCTTCATTATCTTTTATTGGAGGGAGTCCGGGTTCTCCGCTTTCCAAAAGGAAGTCGAATGGTCTTAGCGTGCGTACCGAGTCTGGGTTATCATCCATAGGAACTAAAGGTCGAGAGTTTAAGATACCTTCGACCTCCGAAATGACGGTATTCATTTCGTCTAGCTGGAGGATTCTTTTGCCTACTGCGCGCTTAAATGCGTTTTTTGCTAGTCCGCATAGTCTTTCATAAGCGCCTCCTTCCCAGCAAGATAGCGGAACAATGAATTTCCAATTTATTTTTTCTTTTGCTGCGAAATTCATTGTTTCGGATGAATTAATTACTTTTCCCCAGATTTCATCTAAAGTTTTCGCGGTTAGATGAAAGTTGGTTGCGTTATCAGACAGTATATAGCTAGGTCGGCCTCTTTTTGCAATAAACCGGCGTATAGCGTTTAGAAATGTTTTTGCTGATAAATCTAAAACGCTATCTAGCCATACTGCTCTGGTCGCTAAACAAGTTATTAATAATACCCAAAGCTTGTGTTTGCTGTTGTCGGGCATAGTAACTAGTGTTGGGCCTAGATAATCCAATCCAAACTTTGCAAATACTGGAGATTTTTGCATGCGCTCTATTGGATATGGAGGAAATGGCGGGAGCGTATACGGTAATAATTTATTTCTTTTACAGTCCAGACATTTCCCTAGTATTTTGCGTATGCTTCGCTTGGTAATTCCGCAAAATTTTTGAATAATGGAGTAATGAGTTAATTGTACTCCAGAATGGAAGTGTTTTTTATGCACGCTTAACACGACTAGTTGCGTTAATTTATCCTCCTTTGGCAAGAATATGGGTTCAATAGAGTCGCGCGGTAGGGAGCTCCATTGCAATCTGCTTTTAGAACGCCATAATCCGTTTGTGTCTTCAAAAAGCGAGTATTCTTTTTTAATTTTTTCGTTGGAGGTAAGCATGCTTCTATTTTGCGCTTCTTTTAATGCAATTATTTCAGCAATTTTAAAATCTAAAGCATTAAACTCTTTATTGATTGAGAATTTTTCTAATAGTTTATTTTTATAAGAATGCGCCTTTAATGCTAAAAGTGATTTTAAGAAGCGAAGAATAAACATAATGCACATTAACATTTTTTCCCAACTGCTAAAGCGAGCAGGATCGATCTTGGCCGCTTTCTTTCTTCTACTTTAGGCAATGCGAATTGTGCAATAAATTCTTCCCCTTCGTCTTTTGGAGGGGTAATGATTTTTTGTGGCCATTCATTTTCGTTCTTTAGCCAAACTGGACCATACCACCAATTTTTTGCGTAGGCTAGCTCTTTAGCTTTGATCCCTCGCGTGGCTAGGTCAGCAGGATTAGAAGCGGTACCGACATGTCGAAAAGAAATGTCATGATTTCGAATTTCTTTTAAGCGATTGGCAATGAATACTGGTTGTCTTTCGGTTGATGCAATCCAGCTGAGCGCAATTTCGCTGTCGGTCCAAAGTATTGTTTTTGCTTTTTCTAATCCCATTTCTTTTTTAATGAAATTTCCCGCTCGAACGCCTATAACTATACCCAATAATTCTAATTTCGGGATAGTAATTTTTGAATTTATTGGCGCGAGGCGACTTCTTGCAAATACTAAATTTGTTTTGCTTTCTTTATCGCTTATTGTTTGTATGTATACGGCGGTTGCGTAACAAGTTAGTGCAGCGTCACAAAAAATATGTATTTGCGAAGAATGATTTTTCTTTATGCCAAGTGAGCGGGGTAGCTCTATGACCGCGTCTTCCCACTCTTTGGCTATTTCCATCCATTCTATTTGTTTCTCCTCTGGTAGGGGTGTGTCCCATTTTAATTTTATTTCCCAGAGTGACTGGAAGAATATGCGCGCTTTGAGTGAGGCGGGATAGAGCAATCCAAGTAGATCAAAAATACTGTTTAGGACACGGAGAATTTTTCGCATAGTCCAATCCACCGAATTAGCTTTAGGGAATGTAAATTTGATTTTGTCTTCGCCATTATCCCAAATTATTCCGAGGAATTTTTTGTGAGGTGCTATTTTTGCGGTTTCCTCTAATTCGCTCAAAACTTTTTCATTATTGGCAAGAAATTCGCGTAATTCCATATTAGCGTCTTCCCGGCAGTTGCACCACTTTTGTAGGAGCTATTGACTTTAACTCCCACAAATTTATTTAAATTTTTTAATTTAACGAGAGAAAACAATTTTATTTATTTTTAAAGCACGAACAAAATTTTATATAAAAAAAATAAGGAGAAAAAGTATTTAATTTAAATCCAACAAAACTTAAAGTGAATAAGAGAAGTGAGCAGCGAATAATAAAACTAAAGTGTATTTAAAAGGAAATAGGAAAAAGATAAGATCGTCGGAATGTAATTTAGTTAATAATATATTTTTATATGTTTACGTGGAGTTGTCTACGACATATAATATGATTATTAGAGGGCGGTTTCTTATTCAAATATATTTTTTTAATGAATATATTATGTCGAGAAAAGCCAAATATGGCATTAGTTTTTCTAAATTATGATTTTGAACATTTCAATATATTTCAATATTTTGCCAATTTTCCAGTTATTTCAATATTTGGCACTTTTTCAAATTATTTCAATATTTTTGCATATTTTTACAAAATTTCGGAATTTTTCATAAATTTTAGCAAAAAATTGAAGAAATTAGGCCGCATGACAACAAAAATTCACAAAATTTTCGCCTGCGGCGCTGAAAATTAGGAATTCTGGCTTATATAGGGTAATTCTTCTGGGAGATTGTACTTACACTTTTTGTACTTACACTTGGAGTACGTCGAGTGGACAAGCCCACAAAATGTCACATCCTCATTTCGTCAATCTCAAAATGCCTAAATCAATCTCAATTTTCGGTACTCATTCAATACCAGTACTTTTCGGTACTACTGGTATTGTATAGGAAAAATCTATTTGCCGAACACTGGTTTCGAGGGATTACGAAGATATCGATGATGCTTAAACGATATCAGGATTATAGGAAGATATCAAGGATTAAGAGAGAGAATTAATGGGATTCATAGATTTAATTTAGAATTATGTATAAATTATGTATAAAAGTAAAATCATTACAAAAGATACATGTCTAATATTTATTTTTTTATTTAAATTTTTTTGTTTTTAGTGATAAAAATACATACATAGAAAGCATTAATATGTGGAAGGTAAAAGATATAATATTAGG